TGGTGACCGAGACGACCAACCAGATGCAGGAGAAGGTGAGGTGCTGGGAGAGCACTCCCACCACCCGCTGGCTCAGTGGAGGGGTCCTGACGGGGTTCCAGCCACATCCCCCAGCTGGCTGGGGCCATCGAGTCCCATGGCACCCAGGTGTGCCTGCTGCATCCATCCCATCTCTGAGCAGATTCCTTCTGCCCTTCCTGCAGCTGGGCGAGCTGGAGGAGACAGTGAGCACCGTGCAGGAGGAGCGAGAGGAGGAGATGGCGAAGGCAGTGTGCTCCAACTGCACCTTCGACTCCAAAGTGCTTTTGGGGGAGCTCGTCCTGCGCTGCGAAAAACTGGAGGAGGAGGTGGACTCCCTGGAGTCCCGGCAGATAGCTGTGGGCAAGGTGGAGAACCTCATAAAGCAAAGGAGCCAGGTAGGGAATTGGCACCCAGGGGACTTGGGAGTGGGCTGATGGCATTCCCTGGCTGACTGTGCTTTGCTGTAATGTGGAAGAGCCCCTCACTGCCTCCAGACTGGCTTGGACCCGTCAGCAGCATGGAAGGAAATTAAAACCTGGGTGCAAATGTCCTGTTGAAACTGAGGACTCGTGGAATCAGACTCCCCTTGCTAAGCATCATCTTTTCCTCCTCCCTGGAGCAGGACCAGCAGCTCCTGCAGCACATGGAGGACATGGAGGACAGAGTCAGGAAGATTCAAGGGGACTGTGAGGAGCTCAGCTTGGTCTCAGAAAACCTCCAGAAGGACTGTGAGAAAAAGCAGAAAGCTATTGAGGTGGGTGGTTGAAAGTCCTGTGGAGTCAGAGCACCCCCCAGTTAGACTCCAGGCAGGGGACCACAAGGAATCTGCCCCCCTGCTGACCTGCTCAAAGCCCTGAGCAGGTTCCAAGGGTATTTCCCGGAGGATTTTGGTTAGGGGGAGCAGGGACTGCTCAGCTGACCAGGAGGCAGCTCCAGCCCTGCTGCCATGTCATGGGATGCTTTCTGTGTTGAAAGATGCTGTTCCAGTCCTTGGAGAGACTGAAAAAGGAGAAGACAGCTGAGGAGAACATGTTGACAGCAATGGACATGGTAGAGTCTCGAGAGCCCTCTGTGCCAGCCCAGGGCTTCCTGGGCAGGGTGACAAATGCCCCTTGTCCAGTGGGGGCTGTTTGACAAAAATGGTCTGTGAGAGGGAGGATTTCCAGACCAAGTGCAGGTCCCTTGCCCCTCCATGGGTGGGAACAACCCCATGGGGGTAATGGGGTGAACAGGGTCACCCTGCCCTGAAAGGGGTACTATGGCATGGAGGGAGTGCTTCTCCCTCTGCCCCTGACATGCCCTGGCCCTGCCTGTCATTCCTCAACTCTTTCCCCTCTTCACTCCTGCCTTTCTCCTCTGCCAGAAATCTGCCTTGGGCAGCAAAGTCAATCGCACCCAGTTTGAGGCGAGCATGGAGCGGATAGATCAGAGGATGCAGAAGATGCAGAACCAGGTGTTGGGACAGAATGAGCACTGGAATGAGCTGCAGGAGAAGCTCAGTCACAGGATAGAAAACAAGGTGAGGAATGCCTCATCAACAGTGTGCGAAACTGGCATCTTTGGGTCTTGGCAGCCTGAGGCAGCATCCCTCTGAGGGTCCCACTCCTGGATTTTCCCTGGAGACAGCCATGTCCCCTGCTGGGGCAGCTGGCTGAGGGTGTGCACCTGTCCACAGCTGGATCGTGGGGAGCTGAAGTATTTCCGTGAGCAGATGGAGGAGACCTGGAAGAAGAGCATCAAGGAGCTTGAGGACAAGATGGCCGAGAGTGACAGCGCCGCTGGGCTGAGGAAGTGAGTGGGATGGGGATGGCAATGGCTTTGGGGACAGCGATGGTGCTGTTCCCTCCAGCTGTCCCAGACAGTGCACATGTGGTACCCTAGCACTGCACCAATTTAGCCACCAAACAAACCGTGGTGATGCTGATGAAGCAGCTGCACCTTCTCCTTCCACCAGCAGCAGGAAAGGAGGCACGAGGAGGGGGCAGCTGTGGGACAGAGCACTCCCAAACCAAAGAGGGCTGTGAGATGGGCATTCCTTCCCCAGGCAGGGGTGTGACACGCAGCGCCCCAGGGCTGGGTGGTGCCCTGCCCTCCTGGCCAGGCACAGGGGG